ATTTATTCCACATTCTCCTTCCATCCAGATGCCAGTGTTAGACTGACAGCACTTTTTACTGTAGTAGAGCCCTTACTGTCTACTTCTTTCTCTCTGTTTACCTCCTGATATGCAGGGTATTCTATGAAATGGATACAAAGACATATTCAAATATCTATACTAGTTGTAGTTAAAAAATATATCATTTTAATGATTAAACACCTATATTTGATGTCACGTTGTCCAATGTTATTTACATAAGATGTCCTGGATGATTTTGATTACAGCAATGCGGCAGTCACAACAAACACGCACTATAATATACCGTAACTGTGTTAACAAGAAATGTTTTTAAAGTCATTTCTTGAGATTGCATGTGCATATCGTTTGTCTCATATCGTCTTACTTCATTATCATCCCTAGGGGATTTGTGCTGGTGCAATGTTCTAACATATCCTACTAAAATAAAGTAAAATGTGTCTGAAATATGAATTAGATTGCTATGTGCTGGTAGGTCAAGAAGTACTTTATGATGAAGTGTCAGAAAAGACAATTTTAGGCTAATGAAAGCTTTTTCCAACTTCAAATATTTTTGGTAGTATAGAGTTGAGGTTATTTTTCTACTCTCTCTCCTTCAAAAGTCATTGAAGGTTGAAGGCATGTGCACACAATGAACGGATGCTTGCTAAATATTTCTGAGCAACAAGTTAAATTGTTAATGCTATGCAGGCATTTGCCTTGTTTCCTAACACTGAACTCTAGGTGGGTATAAAAGGTGGATATAAAAGAACAAACTAATGGAGCATTGTATAGGTTAATATGTAATTACATTTATTTTTAAATGCAAGCAATGTAAGTACATGATTTTGACCTGGTGACAACCTCTTTCAGTGCACTGTACAACAGAGGTCAGACTGAAAGAAGTAGAAGCAGCAAAAGGATCCAAAGCACAAAGAGTGTGATGGTAGGAGAGAGCAGAGTGACATGAATAGTAAGCCTATCAGTCTGCCACTTCCTTTCTCACAGTCCAGTCACAAACTGCAGGAGGAACGACATCCATAATTGTTACTTAGCTGAAAAAGAGAAAAATCAGGTCACCTGCCCAGGCAGGGTTGTGCTGTGTGGCAGAGCTGTGTAAATCTCAGGAAGTGGGAAAGTTTCAAATGGGATGGAAAACAAAGGTGGGGGGGTGCTGGAATATGGCTTAAGCTTTAATTATTTTTACGAAAATGTGCTACTGAACAATATATTAAACATATGAAGAAATCTGATTTGCACTTATCCGACCTGCAGAGTTGGGCATCTGCATAGCCAAATCTGCAATCAACATCATGGATAGATTCCTGTTGTGGAACTCTGACATTAAGTAAACCTTTGAATCCTTTAATAATCATTTTCCACATCTTTGCCTCCATTTTGTTCTGTAGTGAAGACGAGAGATGAATGACTGTCAGGGCTCTTTCCACAGCAGAGGTATGCAGAGACCTGGCATTCCTACCAGAACCTTGCATGGCCGCAGAAATGCACACTGGTGAACATCTATGCGCATTGGCACATGGATGTGGGCAGGAACACGCATGCGCACTGGCGCACAGTTACGCACGCATTAGCCCAGCTTGGCACCAGATGGCCTTTAAAAGGAAGCTCATCACTCTCTCAAATTGCTTGTTGATCTCTGGCCCCCCAGTACCTTGGTCCCATGTTCCCTTGCTATTGTGATCTGCTGTTACTGACTCAGCTTGTTCCTGGACCTGTCTTGCCTGCCTGTCTCCTGATCTGATGGCTTGACTAATGGATATTCTTACTTGCTCTCCTGTGTATGACCCCAGCTTGGCTAACGGATATTCTCACTTGCTCTTCAGTGTATGACCCCAGTTATCCATCTGACTTAATCTGCTCTAATCCCCACCTGGCATCTGACCCTGGATCCGAACCGACTACTCTGCTGTCCTCCATTACTCTGAAGGCCTGCTATCTCTCATGGGCACCACCTGACTGCAGACACCATTCCAGTGGATCAGCTGTGCTCCTGTGTGTACCTCTGACAAGCATTCTCAGTCAGATCATCTCTACAAGCACTTTTGCAGGCAACTCATGCTACTTTGGGCCTTACTCATTCTGTCTCACTCAACGCCAGGGGAGTCTGGAACTTAGCCACAAGGGAAGCCCTCTCTCCATTGGCCTCCAGCACCAGGTACGTGAAAATGACCATGGTCAGATCTGTCATTGCTAATCATTCCTGATGAGAGGTCTGAGTATGAAGGCCTAGTACAATGATGTGACCATCATATTTGTAGGAAGGAGCAGGGGCGGACTGACCATTCGAGCACTCGGGCACTGCCCGAGGGCCTAGGGTCAGTAGGGGGCCCCATGAAATGGCCCTGGTACCTTTTATAGGCTTTTTTGAGTGTGAGCAAGAACACAGGGGCCCCATGATTCTCTATTACTTGGGGGCCCCATGAGTTGCCAGTCTGCCCCTGGGAAGGAGCTTACATTTTCCTTTGGCCTGGACCCCACTTTGCAGGAAGTGACCTGATTATCCTGTCCTGGCAGAACCCCATATATAGAGTAGGCCAAGTCTAGTAGGGAGGGGAGAACTATGTATTTTAGAAAGGAAGGATATAACAGAGAGCTAAGTGAAACCATGTTTGGTCCCACCATGTGGGCTTCCTTAGCTATCAGCTCAGACATCTGTTCTGAACTGTTGCCAAAAAATATGGATTTTTGGATTATAATCATATGTGCCTTTATTATATTAATAATGCCTAGAAGTTTTGTTATTTTAGTGCTAAATAAAAGAAGCACAAATCTGCTTCTGCATGGAAGTATGTTATTTCAAGAAGATGCTTGAATACCTGAATGGAAGCATGTAAGATAGGCTTGTACAAGGTTAGGCCATATATGGCTGGATGGGTTGGACCCATATCATGATACACGAGTGCTGGTGGAGAGGATCCTGTATGTAAGGTGCATGGTGTAAACCTGGTCAGGGCCAGGAGTTGGTGGTGGCTAGTGGAAAGAGGTCTACCCTTCTAATGGTGAGTACCCCTCAAATTGAACATGCATCAGGTAATCTAAGTCCCATGTCACACGGGCCACAGGAGCACAGTGAGATCATCAGAGCCATGGCCTGTAGCCATGGGATAGTAATATAAGGCGTTGTGAAGGAGTAACTCTCTAGAGGGGTTGGTGCTACACTGGACCATGGGGATAGCTTTAAAGGGGTTTTGAACCCACCATCTGTACAGACAGTGAGTGGATGAAAGAAGTCTGTGTGGGCTTTGAGACAGTTACAGTACAAAGAGGGTGGTAAGCCCTCTATACAGTGTATGTAGGCCTCTAGCATAGTACTGGCTACATTGGAGCAGCCTACAGATTTGACATAAAGTATGGTCACACGAGCCCCATAGGATGGAAAAGGAGGGAGAGACAATACACAAAACAATATACATAATATAAACAACAATATACATAACAATGTGATTAAATAAACTGCGGCACTCGGTATTTTTCAGTATTTAATTTTAGATTTATAATTTTTTAAAAAATATATATATTATCATTGTTTTAATATTTATATAATATGGGTACTTGGTATTTGCTACTTCCCTATTATGGTTAGTCCCAAAGACAGTCAATGCTAGAATAAAGCTTTAGTCACAGCATAAAGAAGTTAATGCAGATCTTGTCTAACACCTGCCAAAAATATTGGAAAGACACTGAGAAAAAAAATTGTGCCAAACTTGGCAATCGTAACTCTTGCATTTTTATAGGGACAGATGGTGTAGTAAATTACCACTGAGCTGAATAGCACAAATAGTCTGCTTCATATGAGGATAACATTAACAAAAATGAAAAGAAGAACGCTAATCTCTAACTCAGTTAGCAAAAAAGAAGGTGCACGGTAAAAATTAAAATAATGAGGGTAAATCTAAAAGACAACATACAAAAGCTGAGCTTTTTATAAAGCAACCATTGGCCTATGTGTTTATCTTGTGGCTGCAGTTTGTGGGCAGTTATGAAATGTGCAGGCAATCAACTGTGAAATCTAACCTATCCTGGACTCAATCAAGCAATCCAATCTTAGCCATGCATACATCCGATCAGTCAGAATGTTCATACACACACTGACCATTACATGGGTAGTTAAAGTTTTTAGCCATCCTAGTCATCTTTGTACTTTCGAGCCTATGTTATCCTCCTTATCTACTCCCCATATAAGTTAAGGAAGGTAGTATATTACAAGTTGTTGCAATCACTCACATAATTTGCTTTAACATATTTGAGGTGCTGTTTGGCAACATATAACAATACATTACTTGCATGGTAAAATCTTGGCTTGAGTTTTTAGCTTGTTGTGTTTTCTGTTTACTACCCATTCCTTTCCTATCGTCGATGAAGAGAGATGCAAAATGTAGTCTTTCTGGATTATTAGCTTGACCAGGGATCCTTTTTTCAGTATTTTTCCCAAACTTGATAGTTGAGCTGTTTGCAATTTTCTTCTCATACAAACAGAGTATATATTATTAGATCCTACTCCCAGTGATTCCATCTGTAAAGGAATTCTTTCATGAGAGGATCATTGCTCAACATTCCTTTTGAGAATGATAGATCCCTGGCTATCATGTCAAGTATGCCCTCATACTTCCCTTGTGATCAATTCACTAAAGGTTACCGCATGCGATATGAAGGTCAAGTGACTAATTTTTCAGAATCCTGGCTATCATGTGAAGTTGGTGTTGCTTGAGATAATATAAGAGTTAATTCATCACAGTAAAATATCGAATGTGAGGTAAATACCGCACATTTGTTAAAATAGTGAGATAAATACCGCAAAAAAACATGAGATAAATCATTAACCACCTCCTGCCCGCCATATAGTAATATGACGGACGCAAGGTGGTTCTCTCGTTCTGGGAGGATGTCATATGATGTCCTCCCATTCTCACCGTGCATGCGTGGCTCAGGGAGCGCGCAGCACGGCGATCAGCGGTGCGCTGTGTCCCTCGGACATAGCGGATCACTGATCACGGAAACAGCTGAAGATGTCGGCTCGGTCATGTGATCAGCTGTGTCCAATCACAGCTGATCACATGTAAACAGGGAAATGCCGGTTATCAGCATTACTCTCCTCTCGAGCTGTTACGCTGACAGCTCAAGAGGAGAGGAGAGCCGGTAATCAGCTTTCTCTGCGGGGACATGTACACTGATCATTGGGGCACTGATGATCAGTGTGCCCTTATGATCAGTGTAGCCCCAGCAGTGCCACATGTCAGTGTCCATCAGTGCCTTGTGTCAGTGCTCATCAGTGCCTCGTGCCAGTGCCCATCAATGCCACATATCAGTGCCCATCTGAGCTGCCTTTCAGTGTCACCCATCAGTGCCACCTATCAATGGCAATCAGTGCCACCTATAAGTGCTGCCAATCAGTGCCACCTATCAGTGCCACTGATCAGTGCCTGTCAGTGCCGCCTATCAGTGCCAGTCAGTGTCGCCTAACAGTGCCAGTCAGTGCCATATATCAGTGTCATGTATCAGTGATGCCTGTCAATGCCCATCAGTGCCACCTATCAGTGTCCATCAGTGCCGCCTATTCAGTGCCCATCACTGCAGCATCATTAGCGCTCATCAGTAAAGGAGAAAAATCACTTATTTACAAAATTTTATAACAAAAACTAAGAAAAAATGTTTTTTGTTCAAAATTTCAGAGATTTTTGGTTCGTTTAAGAAAAAAAAAAACCCAGAGGTGATTAAATACCACCAAAATAAAGCTCTATCTGTCATAAAAAATTATAAAAATTTCATATGGGTACAGAGTTGCATGACCGCGCAATTGTCACTCAAAGTGCGACAGTGCTGAAAGCTGGAAATTGGCCTGGGCAGGAAGGGGGTATAAGTGCCCTGTAGGCTTGTGGTTAAAGTCAATTCATTAAAAAAACACACACATTCATTATTTATCACCTGGTGCTTGCTGGCAATATTTTAGAAATGTACAAAATAACAATTTAGAGGAACTCTGCACTGGCCAGAAAGTAAAAGTATACAATATATCAATGTGAAAATGTTCTCTGAGGTCACGTATGAAAATAAATTGTAACATTTCATCAGAGGGAGATCATTTTGTGAATGTTTTCGCATAATTGCTGTGTGCCTTCTTGTGCAGTGTTAGCCTGCAAAAAAAAAAAATAGTGAAAAAACCAAAAAATATTGCTAAATATCGCAAAACAAATATATTTAACGCATTTGGTAAATAATGCATGTTTTTAGTGAATTGACTACTTTTGAAATAAATACCTTATGAGTTATTTTAACTAAAAAATGCATGCAGTATTTATCTCTTGGTGAATTGACCCCAAAATCACTTGAAAGAATAGCAAAGGCAGTGCATATATCGAGAACGTTTCCAAGGAACTGATATGATCAAAAGGAGTGCAGGTATAACAAGAGTGCCATGCCAAAGGTACAGAAGTGCAAAGAAAACAATGAGAAGCCTAAACGTTTTGGGGGCTACAAGATTCATCAGGGGTAAAGAGTATAAAAACACTGCATATGTAATCAAACAATAAAATGAATAACATAAAAAACTATTAATAATTATTATTATACAGGATTTATATAGCGCCAATAGTTTGCTCAGCGCGTTACAATATAAAAGGAGACAATACAGCAATGATACAGTTCAATACAAGAGGGTTAGGAGGGCCCTGCTCCTTGCAGCTTACAATCTAGGAGGGAGGGGCTGGTGGTACAAAAGGTAATAACTGTGGGGGATGAACTGAGGAATAGAAGATTCCATTATTAGCTGAAGGTGGGATAGGCTTTCCTGAAGAGATAGGTTTTTAGAGATCGCCTAAAAGTGGGCAGAGTAGGCTAATAGTCGGATAGATTGTGGTAGAGAGTTTAAGAGGATGGGGGAGGCTCTGGAGAAATCCTGGAGATGAGCATGGGAGGAGGAGACAAGGGAGCTAGAGAGCAGGAGGTCGTGGGAGGAGCAGAGAGGATGGTTTGGGTGATATTTGGAGACAAGCTTGGAGATGTAATTTTGGTGTTTTTATTATTTGGCTGATGGCTTTATATGTTATTGTTAATGTTTTGAATTCTATTAATTGGGCAATGGGAAGCCAGTGTAGGGATTGCCAGAGAGGGATGGCAGATATGGAATGGTTAGTAAGGTGGATGAGTCTGGCAGCAGCATTCATGATAGACTGAAGAGGGGATAGCCTGCGATTAGGTAGGTCCAATGAGGAAGGAGTTACAATAGTCAAGGCGAGAGATAACAAGGGGGAGTGAATAAGTTGCTTAGCGGTTTCAGAGGTTAAGAACGGGTGTATCTTACAGATGTTGCGAAGGTGAAGTCTACAAGATTTGGACAGTGATTGGATTTGGGGCTGAAAGAACAGATGGGAGTCCAGGACTACACCTAGTACCTTGGCATGAGGGGAGGGACTGATGGTTGTAATATTGATCTTGATGGAGATGATAACTAAAAGAACAAAACATTTTTATATCTTCTACTTTTTTTTACCTCTTCACTTTTATTATAATCATCATTTATGTACAGTATATATCAACCCTCAATAAGCCTTAGTTGCATTGTTGAACCTAGAGGTCACCAGAGTTTAACAGTGCTGGCTTTGGGGTGGTAACTTGTGAGACTCCACCTATCAAATCAGGTTCAAGGATGGGTTCTATAATTCTGGAGATAGTATTTGATAGTATTCTAGTTGCTTTTCTGCATGCACTATTTTTTATACGTTTCTGGATGCATTCCAGATGCTTTTTTTTCTTCTTTTTTTTCTTCTTTTTTCCTGATTTATTTTCCACTGTATGATGGTCCAGAGCAATTTGATGCATTTTTGCCACAATTCAGTACAGTTCTGTGCAGGGAAAAGAGCATCATGTACTCTTTTTTTTTCTGGAACTAAAAGCACTAGAATGCACTGTACTGGTATGAACTATGTCAGTGGAACCCATATAACCTATTTTCAATGCTTTTTTGATGCAGAAAAAAGCACTGCACTACATGTGGTGTGAACGGCCCTTATTAGTACATATAAAACATTATCCTGGATACTGACAGCTGTTGACTAATTATTTCATTCAGCAACCTTGTTAGTATAGATTTATACACATTTCCTCAACCTATAAAAATAAAATCTCCAAAACACATCTTAGTCAGACTCCAACACTAAGCTATACATAAATCTTATACAGAGCAGATATTAAAAAAGTTTCTTCATCTCTACTCATAAACTGGAAGACATTAATGATTGGATTTGCATGTAGTATTATGATTGAGAGGAAACTGAAAACAGGAGATGCTACTTGCAGTCTACCTACCCAGGGGCGGACTGACCATTTGGAAACTCGGGCACTGCCCGAGGGCCCGGGGTCATTAGGGGGCCCCATGAGATGCCCCTGGTACCTTTTTCATAGGCTTTTTTGAGTTTGGGCAAGGACACAGGGGCCCCATGATCCCCTATTGCCTGGGGGCCCCATGAGTTGTCAGTCCGCCCCTGTACCTACCTATTTCACACTGATATACATCTTCACAATTTTGCTCTGAGAACCCTCTTTGGTTAAACTAGGATTATTGTGTACCTGTGAGATTTAGAACTGATCTTCTTTTCCAGATGCTGAGACGTTAAAACTTACAATGACTTAAACTATGCATTCCTTAAAAGATTATGACAAGTCAAGCATGAGGAACAGCCATTGAGTTCAAAATGACAATCTGCATACTAAACACCTCTCCTTTTAGATGATATTTTAATTATGTTACTCAGTGTTTTCTGTCTTAGTTATTATGCAGAAACTTCAGCATCATTGACTAGCTGTATACCCCCCCAGAGAAACATGAAAATTCTGAAGTGATGCCTTAGATGAATATTCCAGTTGGCTTTGATTTGTAATGTACAAAACGCACCTGAAATTGCATTGTGATATGTACTGAATAGTTTTTTAGTCATGAGTACATCAACTTCACCAATGTAGTCAAAACAATTGATATATTTAGTCACTGTATTGTTCACTCATAAATATAATTATTGAGATAAGTGACAGACATTAAGGGTGGCCACATACTGCTTTTGTCTGTTCAAGTATCCTTATGCATTACTGTAAACATGAAAGGCATTGAGTTATATATATATATATATATATATATATATATATATACTGTATATACATACCTGTGTATATATAGAAAATATACATATATTGTAAAGATTTAATGTAATGGGTTCCTCCTTCCAATCTAAGCTCTGAAAGTTGTGACAAGATAGCTCATCTGTCTGTCTGTCTGTCTGTCTCTCTGCTCTCTCCTCCCATCAGCATGCATCTTACACTGTAACACCTCTGTTTGGCTCCCTCTGCTGCTTTTCCCTTTCCCTCTCTGAGCTCTGCTGTAAAGATATTAAAAGAGGCTGATACCAAGTAAACCTAATGCTGCTTGTGCAAAAAAATATAAAAAATATTAATGACTGTATTGGGGTTACCTATACTTTCCATTAAAAAACATTGTTAACCAAAAAAAAAAAAAAACATAATGATGTAGTACTGTGCAAAAGTTTTAGGTGATGTGACCTATAAATTAAGAATGTTTTCAGAAATAAAAGTGTTAATATTGTGTTTTTATCAATTAACAAAATGGAAAGTAAATGAACAGAAGAGAAATCCAAATCAAATCAATGACTGACATGACTACCCTTGGCCTTCAAACCAGCATCATTTCTTTTAGGTACACTTGTACAAAGTTTTTGAAGGAACTTGTCAGGTAGGTTGTTTCAAACATCTTGAACTAGCCACAGATCTTCTGTGGATGTAGGCTGCCTCAAATCCTTCTGTCTCTTCATGTAACTCCAGAAAGACGCAATGATGATGAGATCAGGGCTCTGTAGGGGCAAAACCATCGCTTCCTTGTTCTTCTTTATGCTGAAGATAGTTCTTAAAGTGGAGTTCCACTCATCCTGTCAAAAAATAAAAGTCAGCATCTACAAAAAACTGTAGCTGCTGGCTCTTAAAAAACAGCCACTTACCTGTCCCGGTCCTGTGGTGTGTTCCCTGCAGCCATTTCACCTGCCGTCCTGGATTTCTGGAGGCCTGCATCTTCAGTGTGGGTACTCGGCTGTGACTGCTTGCGGCTTTACAGCCGGGTACCCACTGCGAATGTGCAAGTAGCGCTGCGCTTCATGAATGGTCCTGTAGTCTTCTGGGACCTTTCACGTGTCCAAGAAGACTACGGGGAGGGAAGGAGGGGGGAACCTTCCTATTTCTGATTGCCTAGGCAGTCCAACCAAAATTAGGAGCCTGGTACCTGTCAAATTCAGGTACCCACTCCCGCCCCCCAAAGGTGCCAATCCTTAATGGGGAGCGGGGGTGGGGAGCAGTCCTTAAAGCAGAATGTCCCCTTTTGGGTGGAGCTCCGCTTTAATGACATTGACTTCATGTTTGGGGTCATTGTCCTGCTGAAGAATACACTTGGGGTCAATCTCACACCTCCCCGATGGTATGGCAGATTTTTTTTTTCTGTTTGCTTATTTTGCATTTTGTATATTGATAAAAATAAATAAATACAATAATAAAAAAATAATATATTTGAAAGTAGGTAAATCTCAGACAATGGAATCTTTCATGCTGCATGCTCTCCCCTCTGTAGACAGCAAAACTGACAGCAACCACACTCTCAGCTCAGCTGCTTATTAAGCAAGAGAACAGCGATAGTAACCAGCTAGAGAACAGCGATAGTAAATTAGAATCACTTGCAGAATTGAGTGATAATGATTTGTGGGGAAATTTGTCATCAGACACTGAAAACGATTTTGCGTCTAAGCTCAGTGATGTGCAAATTTGGCGCTCTATTTCAAATTTCAGTGTTTTTGGTTTGATTATATTATTGAATTAAATTTATTATTATTATATTATTATTTTTATGTTTTATTTTTTATATTATAATTTATTATTTCATGTTTCAAATTTTATCATACCCGGGATGTTTACTAGACTTTTGTTCAGACAGATTTCAGTGAGTTATTCCTAAAAATTACAGGCCTAAAATAAAAAAACGACATATTTCCATGCAAAAAAAATACCGCTTTGAGCACAGAAATATTGACATAATCAGATTGCTAGGGAGGTTAATGGTGCATCAGTTGCTTGTGACATTCAGGCACCTGTAACTTGAATACAGTCACTATGGAAGGAAAAGTGTTAAGATGTTCAGTGCTTCCCTCACTGTACAACATCATTTTTCTAGGTGAAGCCTCACAATCTTTATCTATAACACTGCAGGGTGCATATCCAAAATCTAACATTTAATCAACCATAGCCACTGGTCAGATGTCATTTTTTTTTTACAAGTCAGCATGGTAGCAATGGTAGATGTTATAGCAGAACTAAGCTCTCTCAATCAACGCTAGCTATTTTCAATCCTTATGTTACTAGTCTTAGTAAAAAGATAGAAAAGTATCTTACATTTACTTGTTTTAAAACTTTTTTTTTTTCTTCAGTGGGTTCCTTTGTTTTACAGCATCCTTTGGAGCCATCCTTACATGCAGAGACTAGAGTTGTGTCTCCCTACACTGAGGGAGATTTCCTAAAACTGGAGCGAGCACTCAGAATCTGGGGCAGCTGTGTATTGTATCCAATCAGCTTCTGACTTCAGCTTGTTAAGTTTTGATGATCAGACCTGGAAGCTGATTGGTTTCCATGCAGAGCTGCTCCTGATTTTGCATGAAGCAGTTTTAGTAAATAACCCCCAGTGTGTGTATCAATAGATATGCACAGCCCCATAGTCTAAAATGACATGGCACTCCCCTGCTCCTCCTTTCTTCTCCCCCTCCCTTCTCCAAGATAACAGACTGACTCGAGATTGCACTTTCCACTGTTAATTCTTTTCTGTAAGACCAGAATTTCATTGAAAGTTGTAAACTGTAAGTGCTGAGGTAAGAATTGTAACAAATAGTTTACTGAGGAATGTTTTTTTTTTTTATTCACATACTAGGGTGAATTTAGACAGGAGCCAATTAACCTACCAGCATGTCTTTAGAATGTGGGAGGAAATCCACAAAGGCACAAAAAAAGCAAACTCCAGGCAGGTAGGGCTGTGGCTGGGATCTGAACCAATGACCTTAGTGCTGCTGGGCAGAAGTGCTACCAACTTAACCACTGTGTTGTCCATATTCATCCATATACAGTTCTCTTCAGCCTTCAAACTGTTTGTGTTAGAGCCAGAAATGTCAGATTTTGACTCAGAGCACCCGCTGAAATCCTCTAAATCTCACTCCGTGTTTTTGTGCATAGACAGGTTATTTGGCTTTATTTTGCATCTCATACATACTATAAAGCCCACTTCAGACAAAACTTTTCTAGACTGTATCAGGGTCCTATTGATTTCTGTCAGTTCTGAGCTGACTTCACATCTTCCAATTTTGAAGGTAAGAAAGCTTGATGTTTTATTTTGCTCTATGTTTCCCTAACTGACCAATACTGCAGCCTTGTGTAGCACCCTCCTAGTTAGATTGCAAGGATGTTAAGCAAATGTAGTTATTTTTGGCTCCTCTGTAGTCAGTGGAGCAGTTACTTTGGACTGTTCTGTGTTTCATAGGCTTCCAGTTTGATTGTTTTTCCGTGCATTCTAGAATCATCATCATGCAAACCAAACAAGCAGTCTGAATATATATGGGGCTTCAGCCAATCCCTGGGAATGTGCACCCAGTAGATAGCTGAAGAGCATATGAATTCCTTAAGACCTGGAGCAGCCCTATTTTAAGTCCTGGGTCTAAGCCCTGGGTCTCGTCCTGAAAAAGGAGTCCCCAGCCTCATGGGCTTTGCCCCTTTGGGCAGACTACTGGAGTTGCTGCATGTTTATCAAGGTCTTAGATGTGGCATAGCTGAGGGCCCATTTCTGACACTAATCAAGGGATTTCTCCCATGAACTTGGTCTGGAGAGCTCACTGAAGAATGTCCGGTGGAAGTTGGAAGGAGGAATTCAGCTGTCCTGTGGCATTGTAAGCATTAACCTCTCCCCCCATTGAAAAAAGTCTGGTGAATACTGAAAGGAGGCATCCAGTGATCCTGTGACATTCTGAGTACTTACCTGAGCTCAGGGTGCTAGTGACTGTGTGCTGTCTCCCGTTGAAAGTGAAAGTTCCAATGGAAGCTCTAACTGAGATAATTTCTAGAACGATATAGTTCTGGCCATCTTCCTTTGCTGCTGCTTCAGATAGAAAAGTGAAGTGTGTATTCATTGTTTGTGGAGTATCCCATACCACCCTACACTCTCTCCAAGAGAAAAAAGACATCCCCTAGACTATTTAATGAGCTGGAGTGAGTGAGTGAGCGGTTGTTGTTTGTCTGGCTACCTCTGCACTAATTTTGGGATAGAACCAGTTAAAATACAGCAGCTCCTTTGGAGATAGTACTACAACTACTTTAATAAGCAAGCCAGTTTGTGTGCTCCCAAAACACTTTAAGTACATTTTTATGTAGGCATCTATTCATTACACTATAAATGGTTCCCCATGACACACTGTAAAGTACATGCTGCTTTCCTTGTCTTGAGGACTGAAACAAGTCTAACGGGTATAGCAAGGTTTCCAGACATGAATTATTTTTCTATCGCACACATACTGTTTTTAGAATGCCATGCTTGTTACAATACACACTGCTATGTGTTAGCTAAGCAGCCGAAAACAAGACAGCATGCTCTGTTAGTCCTGTGTCTTTTCCTTCCCATAATTAAATAGTGCTACAAGTGCTGATGTCTATTCATGGGGGACAGCTACTAGAGAAAATGACTTCCTATAAAAAATAATTACAGCAGGTAATAAAAAAATACTTCCATGGGTCCAAAGGTGTGATTAATATCAGTTGTATTCCTCTAAATGTGTTCCTATTTTTTTGCCAGCAAAGTCTGCTTTTATTTACTATGTGACAAAATCTGATAAATATTAATCTACTAATAGAGATACTTTTGTATCTGCATGTGATGAGTGTGAAATAGAAAGAACATATGAATAATGTAATTTGAATTAGAGTCTTCTGCATTTTTAGTGAGGTTACAAACAGATAAGCAAACAATTTTACACATTCGAAAACTCATTTATCAGATATTCAAAAAAGCTATTTTTATTCAAAGTAGTGATAGAAATTGGTTGTGGCAAGGTCAGGAATCAGCAGTAGTTATGGCCAGATCTGTGTGGCTACACTTAGGAACCTGAGACCAGACTGGTTATGTTCTAAGATTTAATTGCAGTGAAACCAAAATCCATCCAAACACCTGCAAACAGAAAAACACAGCAAACATAATGTGAACAATAAACCAAATGACAAAAAACCTATCCATCTAACTATAATACAATATATACAATATGAGGGACACAGGTAACAGGGAATACCAGAGATACAAGGAAAGGGGGGGGGGCAAGGACTGGGATCAAGAGCAAGGGGAGCAGATATAAGGCAGCAGGGTACAAGATGCAGGGCATAAGCAAAATCAGGAGAAGGATAAATGGCAAACAGCATCTGACTAGTAAAGCAAAGCAAAATACTGATGTGTGAGGCACTAGTAGAGACAACCCAGACACAGCCCGTCTCCTCCACCTAACCTCCTCCTTTGCACTTGCACAGTGCATACAATCCACCACCCACTCCGACGGAAATATCCTGGACCTTGTCTTCTCCAACCGCTGCGCCCCCACAACCTCACTAACACCCCCTTCCATCTCTCTGACCACAACCTGATCACCTTCTCTATCTCCTCGTCCTCCAACGCCTACCCCTCCAAATGTCACACTACTACCAGCCGTAACCTCCGCAACCTTAACCCTGCCCCCCTCCACTCTGCAGCTGATCAACTCCACGACCGCATCCTCCCCCTGTCCTGCCCCGACTTGGCCATGACTGCCTACAACAATGCGCTCTCAACAGCCCTTGACTCACTAGCGCCTTTAACCACACGCAACATCAGACCCCGACCGCTCCAGCCCTGGCAGACTGATCACACCAAAACCCTCAAACGACACAGTCGTGCCCTGGAACGACTATGGCGCAAAACCAAATCCCAACAAGCCTTCACCCGCTATAAATCTGCCTTCCGCACCTACACCTCCTCCCTCCATGCTGCCAAACAGGCCTACTTCTTGACCCTCATCAAGGCCCTCTCCTCCAATCCTCGCCGACTCTTCTCTGCCTTCAACTCTCTACTCTCTCCACCCCCACCTCCACCCAGCACCTCACTCACTGCCCTTGAGATTGCCAATCACTTCAAAAACAAGATTGACACAATTCGCAAGGACATTGCCGCAACTCGCACGCCCTCTCAACCCGTCCCCTCTCACACAGCTACCCCCTTATCCCCCTCGACATAACCCGCAGGGACTTTGTCGCTGCTCAAACTCTCTCCAACCCCCTTCACCCTCACTCAGCTACCCCCTCATCACCCCTC